TGTCATTAGAATCCTTTAGAGGTCTTATTTTCAGTAATTTATCTATATGGGCGTTGATCAGTACATCTTTATTTCCAAATCTTTCTGTGAGGAGTTAACTGAAGTTTCGTAATTTTCTTCGGTTAAATCGAAACCGTCAATGGTGTTATAAGCAGTGCCTCCCAAAAAGGATTTCAAATAATTAAATTTGCTTATAGCGTCAAGCGTTTTATTTTGGTGTATGGCTGATGAAAAAGTGTTCCAAAATGTCAGCCATTCGCAGCTCTCGCCATAAAACTTCGGAATCGTAAGTTTAGGAAGCTTCACATTATGACTTTCGATTTTAAACGTTTTCTATAATACTTTCACTTAACTGTCAGTGCTTCGTAACACATTAAATTTTGTTGTTCTATATTAATTTCTTTCAATTTTTTGTTAGCTTTGTATTTAAATATAGTTATTCTTTCACGATTTCGTCAACACCGTTTAATTCCTGGTCAAGATCCTTTATGTCTATTAATTTTTCTATATCGGCATCTATTCGTTTTAACTCGTTCGATTTTCATTTAAGAGTTCAAACGAAATTTCTAGTTCCTCTGCGTTCACTTCTGTTTTTGATAATTCAGTTTCGATTCGGCCAATTACTTTTGTAACTGCAGCCCTTATGTGGCCGCGTTTCCTTTTCAATGTATCGATTAATTCCTTCATTGTTCAATATTCAATAATTCAACAAGTATCATACTATCTATATCACTGATATCAATTTATACAGTTTCAATAGTTAAAAAAACAGCAGTTACTGGCAGTCCCTGTTCGAACGCCATGTTAAAAATTTTATCAACTTTATATTATAGTTATTTTATGAACTATATATAGATCATTAAATAGATAAGTGAAAGTTCACTTACCTTCTAAATAGGGCTGCCCTGAACTGCCTGCTTTTCCTTCTTGTAGGTATCCATATCTATGATGAACTTCGATTCACTGCGCAAACACAGCTATAAACTTTTTAAGAAATTTAATTCGTATGAAAGATATCTACAAAAATATTTACAAGTTATAATGATTACAAGCATAATTTATACGGAGACGGTCTATCGTTATACATCTGTTAGACGCGTCAGCCGTTCAACTGACTACTTTTAGTCTCTTTCGCCAGAGAGCGTTCATGGAAGTAAAGTTCTAGTAAGCAAACGCGACAAACAGGGTTCCTAAAGTTAAGAAAGAACTTTTAACAGCAGCTGCTGACTTTCTCTGATACTTACGCCTAGCGTTTAGATATGGAATCGGTATCAACACCTTGCTAGCGGTATTTGCTCTCTTGATTTGGGGGCCTGAACCTATGGCAAGCCTTTTTTCATACGAGTCATATGAATCACTTAAGTCTTAGGTTAACTCATTTTCTTCTAAACCTCGCACTTGACTTCTTTTACACTGCACGAGCTGTAGTTTGCAAAGTTGAAGCTATATTAAAGAGTTTAAACTAATCTCTAACTCTGTAAACTATAACTCTTTACTAGGAAACGGACTTCAGTTTCACTGAAATATAGGTAATCAACCGAATTTGAGGAAACCAGCATTTTTAGGTATTTCTTTCCTAAAAGTTTCGTTATTTCCTCTCATTTCATGTTGATGATATCATCAATCTTCAAAACTGAAGTGCATTCTAAAATTAGATTAAAAAGTCGGCAGGTTAATGATATAGCCGAGAAGAACGGAAATTAATCAAAATTAAATGAACGGAATCCATAAATTTTCCCTTTCAGCATACTTGATTTAATTTATAACTGCTGTTTAAACTTGCCAACTAAAATATTTTTTTTTATTTTTAGCTTTATTTTGAAAGAACATTTTTAACCTGAAACTGTTGTAAATTGAGGTTCCATTAGAACTTTGTGATATGAAGTTTCAATAGTTTTCACCCTTTTTTTTTAAACCAGTTGCATTTTTTTTCTTTTATTTCTTAAAGCACAGTTTACTAGCCTATGCTACAGGTACTTCTTTATAAACTGAATAGAATTTCTTTTTGAATTCAAAAAGTTTTGAGAAAATTTTCGTGATAGTTCTAACCCAACGAAAAATTAATAAAATTTCCAGTAATCTTAAAAGAAACTCTAAACATCACTCTGCATTAATCATTATTACCAACACCAGACTTTCACTTCATCTTATTTTTTTCTTGATAGCGATTTAAATATGTTTTTAGTAAATCTCATTCCGGAATTATTCCTTTAACACACAAAGCAGAAAAATATTTCTTTAGCTATAAGATTTTTTTAATTCTGCGAGAATTTCGATTGTTTATCTTCTTTGAAAAAATAGTTTCCCATAATTTTTGGTATCATAACTTTTCTAATATTTTATAATCTCTCGTTATTATTAGTAACATGTTGTTATCATCTATTATTATCAGTAACTTGTTATTTGTTGCTGTTGTTATTGTTGCGAAATGCCCTGTTGAGGTGAGATAGGTTGTTTATAAAGCGAACCTTAGTTTTATAAAGGGAACCTAGAGTTTCCCGAAAGTGGTAGGGAAAAGCAGGGTTACCAGATTTGGGGCGCAATCGCCCATTTGGCGATATTTGGCGACAAAATTGATGATGTGCCATAGACGAAGTGAGGGCATTCTAGAACATATTCTTAGCGGTTTTCTCGCGAATATTCTTGAAGGTAGGTTAAAGCTTTATATGCCCCGTCTGTCTTGGGATAGTGTGTCTTTTGAATTCAAAGATTAGATTGAGAGCGATTGACCGAATCGGGAGTTGTACTTTAGTGCTTTGCCGTAAAGCTGTCTTCACCCTTATAGCCTGAAGCCGGCCTTGCTGAGTGTTTCAGCGGGTTTGTACTAGTTTTTTGAAGAATGCAAAAGTGTCTTTCAAACTCTCCTGTGCAATAGTGCATACTGGTGAATAAATTGTGTTCTGATTCTTCCTCTAGTGTTATCACCAATTATTCCAAATCCACGAACCCGTAGAACACAACATTATTATCAATAACCGTTATCAATTTGCTACTAGTCTCTGTAACAACTCTGTAACTGAGTGTAAATATAAAACGTAAAGTTACGAAAAATTAAATTAGTTTTATAAAAGCAGAGTTGTTGCTGTGAGATGCTTAAATTAGATAGATATGAGAAGTAAGTATATTTAGAAAAATAGTATATATTTAAATTAATCCACAAGTAAACTTTCATTTCGTTTAAAGCAGCATTTCTCAGTCTGTGGTCAGTAGACCACATGAAACCTCCGAAGCCTTCCCTTGTGGTCCGCCAAATTTCCAAAACATTAAATTCAAGTTAATTAATTATTCCACACTACAGCTTAAAATCTATAGTGAGGTGCAAAATATCTGAACGTTACACATGGCAGTCGTGTATCAGTTTTTCTCTCAAAACCGACATTTTATGAAATTTATTAGCGTTTGTCCTATCTATGGACTTCCCACAGTTTCAGTACGAAACTAAGGACTAAAGACACCATTACTTCGGCACTTCTTAAGAGCATATATCCAAATATAAAACAATTATGCGAGACCTTTTCTTAGTTTTGTAGAACATTGATCGACACATTATTCGGTAATTTTAAACACAACGAATATATAGCACCATCAACTGAACAACGCAGAATGTGAAAAACAAATTATAAGATAAAAGCTTAGAAAATAGTGAATACGAACAAACTAAAATTAACAAATTTTATATGAGTATAGACGATTTTAAAAACTGAAGAAATTTTTCGGATTTTTAGCTAAACAAAATCTGAAGGAATATTTTTTGTAATAACATTTCCTTTATAAATTGTTAGTTCTTCGTGCCTTAAATGAAGTACTTTTATTCTTTGTTAAAGAAAAGAAAAATTGAATTCTACGATTTTTTTCAGTTTGCATCATTTAACAAATATGAAATCAAATTTACTCATTCTGATAAATGGCCAGTTGTATTTATATAGCTTGATCTCTAATTATTTCAAAATTTTTATTTATGTCTTCAGTTATTGGCTTGTATTTTTGCTTGTGTCTTCAGTTATCAGCTTATATAATGCACAGTATATGATAAAAAACGCACCATTTCAGGTATAACTTAATTGAGAGTAAAGGTTAACAAATATTATATAAAATTAAGCTAGTTTAAAGCTAATTCGTTTAAAGGATAGGTAATTGCTTTCTTCTGCGTTTCAGATAATATTGAATAAAACGTTATATTGGACGAATTCCAAGTACTTTTATGATAAAACTACAGAGAAAATACTGGGAAACAGGCCTCATAAATTCACAAAGAAATTTTAATTTTACTGCCCGAAAGATTAAGTGTCATGCCATTTTTCATCTTGAAAAATGCCTAATTATATCCGCCCTTTTACACCAAGAAACCAGAAAACAAAAAATTGGACTATAAATAACTTCTAATTTAAACCTGCTATTACAGAATAAAATTTAAAAGTGAGACGTAACAGTATTTATAATCCAGAATAACTCAATCTAATCGTCTGGCGGAAAACTATACATCGCATTTTATAAAAGGAACTAACGCGTGTAAAATATGCTTTGTAAATGTTATTTATTACATATATGTTGCCGATAAAATGTATAATGTATCTCTTTCGGTGAATGATTTATGTTACTTTATTTTAGTTTTTAAAACTAATTTCATATCTGATTTGGGGAAGGAAAAAAGAAGGGTAAAAGAAACTAAGGTATTGCCCTATTGATATTTTCTGTCGTTATTTAAAATGTTTTGATCACATTTCTTTGAAACAAAAAACAAGTTAATTTTTTCAGTTTAAAATTTTAATTGATTGTTAATCATATAATAAAAACATAATTATGTGTATATAAAATACATAGATTATTTTCTTTATTAAACAATGCATGAAAACTATTTTTGCTATCATAAAATAGAAGGCTTGTACCGTTCCCATTCTTATTACGCACATTTAATGGACTGTACACCAGTTCTAATGATGTGAGAAATTTTGCAGTAACTTATCAAACAAAACGTTAGGTGCTTTTTTTTCTTTTTTCAGGATGTTTCAGAGCAGTCTCTCAGAAATGTGCATTTAGGTACGAAACCTCATAACAGGCAATAATCATACTGGAAAGCTACACACCCACAAAGACAGAAAACAAATCACAAACGGTGAGTATTTATTAGACAAAGAAAATTATATGTAACAGAATTGTTTAAAGTGGAAACTTTTAAAGCAGATGTTTGAAGTTTCTGTCTGCAGATGCAATACACACCTCTCAAAGACGACGGATGGATCGATGAACTCTTTTGCAAAAATTGTCGGTTGTATCAACAACAACACTATTTGCAATTTGAGCCACTAGATCTATGATCGATTCGTCAAGGGTTTAATACACTAGGCTTTTCATACATCCCCACGAAAGATGCTTCATCTTGAAATAGCTTGATAGGTGTAGTCCTATGCTCTCCGCTGTATAACCCGCGTCACATTCTGGTTTGGCAAAGAATGCAAAGGAATAATAGTAGGAGTGCTGCTGAAATTAAAAAGACCCTATGTTGCTGCTATATTAAAGCAGAAAACAATACCACGGGGTGGAGGGGTAAGAAAATGAAGTAAAATATCTAACTGCAAAAAGCCATGAAATCTTCACAGAGGCTGGACTGAAGATGACTGAGGATTCATGCAAAGCTATACTAATTAGACTCTTCGTTACAAAGGAAAGTGGTTTGCTTTGGTTTGAAGAGTTCATTTAGGAAACTCACATGAGTAAACATAAGTGATTCAAGTAAGATTAAGACGAAAAAGAAAGAAGCAATTTATCTTATCAATGATCCAGTCCGGGAAGTAAAAATATCCCTTAGTAGCAATTCTATTTAACAGCAAAGAAGACGAACAATCGATGAGTCTCATACTCGAACATTCAGTGAAGAGAAAAGGAAGGTCTACAAAAACGATGATTTGTGGAATAACTCATCAAAACCTCGATATTTCGTGTATTTTAAGAGCAGCAAATAGCAAAGAGTGCGTGGGAACAAAGAGTCAAGGACTGCCATATCGATGTGCCAAGATCTCTCAAAATATTCTCGAAAAGCATTTCAATTGGATACAAATGCGAAGTTCTTCCGTTAATTGTGCAGTCTCTGGAATTATATAAATCTTCGCAGAATTGTAAGCCGGGAAATAAGCGGACATTTCGGAAAATAAGCTGTTTACTTGAAGGAAAGATTTGAAAGTTTCACATAATTAGCTGGTTTGAAGGAATATCATAAAAATGGGGGGAGAAAATGTGTCTTCCCCATGAAGCAAAGATACGAGATCCATATAAAATTACAATTAGTCTTCCGGAGAAGAAGTAAAAGAAAGTTTATTTCAAAAAACTCATAGATCGCTCGCTTCCTGTATTCGCCACCTTTTTATTGCCAAGTCAGAAGAATTTCTGCTAAAGAAAAATACCTTCTCTTCTACCCTAAAATATAAGATACCAGATGTAACAAGGAAAAGTCTAGATATTAATTAAAATCAGATTCATTTTCTTTACCTAAACATTGCGATTTTTTTCTGTCAAACTAGTCAGAAAAAACATTAAAACTTAACAATGTTTCTTTTGAAATTACTGAAATTGGAAAATTCAGAGAAAATGCTATAAACTTATAATAATTTTAATTATATTTCAGATAAACTGGAAGAAGATATCTTAATAATTACTGCTTTATATATCACAGTTGCGTTTAATAATTTTGAAACAGAAGGCCTGTAATAGTATTTCCTTCAATACGTAGAAGCTTTCGAGACTAAATGAATGCCCGTCAAGCACTGCATACATAAGTTTAAATCTTTTTTAATTTAATTTAACTAGGAAAAAACAAGTACTTTGAAATTCAGTTTAGAGAATAATTAAACCGATTACGTTTGCATTGAATTAAATTAAAACCAAAGATAGGAAATCTACGCTAACTCTATTTTGAAATAATTATGAACTTAGTTAACATAACACAATAGTGTTCATATAAAAAAGGTTTCATAGTGAACAAAACACGAGAAGATATACTCAATTAAAAGCACTGAATTTTTAAAAACTCCCTTTTGTCAGCCTTGAAAATTAATGGCTAGATTAAGAATAAAAAGCAGCAAAACTGAGACTATAAACAAAAATAAATAAATACATTCCTGTAACAAAGGGCATCACTAATTCCTAAAAACATTATGTTCGTTTTCTAATAAAAATCTTATAAACTGTTACTTTCTTTTGTTTGCTTTTGTTTCGATCATTTAAATGTTCCAAACTGAATGACATTTTAAACATTTGCCCAGTTAAAGATATGGCTAACAATCGAGCTATTCGAAATTGCAAATAAACAATTAATGACGCAATTAAGCTGAGTTTAAAATCTTTAAAATAATATGATATCTAATACTTATCCAAAATGAAAATTAAAGATAGAAATACGACTACTGAATTAAAAATTTCTGCAGCAAGAAAAGTTAGATAATTAACTGGTTAAGTAAAATGTACGAGAAGTATGGGACAAGTGGGAAAGTTGCCTTTACGAAGGACTTCTAAGATTATCGGCGGTTGAATGAAGAAAACCATACAAACACTATGCATCTTGCTCAGTCGCGGGGATATTAAGAGATATCAAATTATAAACACACAGTGATTTTATTCATCTGGTCATTAGTTGGCACAACTAAAAAGCAGTCAGGCCGTTTTTATTTTGAATTTCATTGATGTAGCAACTTCTAAGAGTTAATTATAATTAACTTTTAACCAAATATAAATTCGCCACCAACTTATTAAATAACTAATATTTAATAAGTAAAAAAACTAATTTTTCCATTATTATATAAATGAGACACGGTAATTTCAAAATATAGTAAAAATTACAGGTAACGTAATTTTATTAATAATTAAATATTATTGAGAAAAACTTAATAAATAATAAAAAATGAAACAAATAACTGTATTTTGATCAGTGGGCGGTGCAGAGAAACTTTTGCTAATGTAATTTTTTGCTAAGGTATAAATTTAAAGCTTTGATTATTAGAAATACCTCTTCTAAAATTACAGTCGATTCGTTTTTCAGGAAAATTTATATACTGTGTATACGAAATGGTAAAAATACGTTTTTTAATAAACAAATAATTCAATAAATAAAAACTAACAGCAGCATATCAGTAATAAAAGAAATCTGAAAGCTTTCAGATTTTTAATTGTGCCCAAACAGGCCTTATCTTTATTTATTACATGCCATGTTCTTCGCACTTAAACCATAAAATTCAATACAACAGCTATATCGCAAAATAATTTTAAAATGAGCATATCTTTAGAATTTCCGATATACAGTTTCGCGCGCTGGAAATAAAAGTGTTTTCTTTTCGTGCATTGTTGCCACTTGATGTCTGTAGGTACTGTTGTGTTTTCGCAGCGCGAGAAACATGCATACATTCATGCAGATTCTTAATTATTTAATTTCTTTAAATACAATGCGGGCTCTAATATTTGGTGGCAACAATTTGTAACGGGAACAGGCATTTATAGTGAGCTAGCGCAAAATGCCAAAACGAAATTAATAGCCCTTCTGGGCTATTAATTTCGTTTCGTTTATTATTATTTCGTTTTATTATTATTAGCCCCTTTGAGCAAATAATAATAAAAGTCCAATTACTAGATGTTCGAAATATGCCTCAACATGAAGCTGAGACAATATCTATGATATTCGGATTACAGATGGTATGTCAGTTTTATTATGTAAATCCTTATAAAGATTGAATTCTAATTACCGCATTGTTGATCATCGGTTTATAATACTGCTTATGCTGCTTACAGTGCCCAAGAATACATTCTCTGATGGTAAGTAATTTATCTATCAATCAATATGTTAACTATCGATACATTTGCTTCAAAATTTAGATAATTGTTTCTATATAATTAATACGACTGATTATTACACATCGAGGTATCAAATTGCTAAATTCAGTCTTTGCTTAAAACACAAAATTTCAACTCCATGATACTTCCGATGTAGTTTCAGGCAAGCGAATGGAAGGTTATGTTCGACTCAATTAAGACAAAGAGTTATATAGTGATAACTTAGAGACATTTTTAGCAATTAAAAGAAGTGCTGATAGCTAGGCAAGCTTACTTACAAGTTAGCAGCTACAAGGAAATGAAATATTTTGGCAGACTTGTTCAATTTGGTATACAGTTGAAGGTTTCAGAAGAACGTTCAGCATATCCAATGTTCTTGAACCTTCTATTTCCCGTACCTCTCATTCAGACAGCAACCTTTACCGTGAAATCACCCTTACTACAAAAACAATCAACATCACTTTGTATTTGCACAATTTTAATGGAGAACTTTCAAACCTAATTAACTCTTTCAACTCCCTGAATTTCATAAGAATTATCCCTTACCAAAAGGCTCCAATACCACAAACAAGTGGTAAAACTCTTGTTTCCTTACCAGGAGACTTCAATACCATAAACAAGAGGTCAAACTTAGCTAAAAGGTTTATTTAAAAATCATGACTTACAGAATAGCTTAGATTTAGCTCAACCAAGGGTTAAATCTGCATATGTGTTAATAAGCACCCCTTCTTGTTTTGCATTTTTGTTTCGAGTTTCAAAAATTCAAAAATTTAAATATACGCAATATACACTGAATATCTAAAACATTATGATCACATAAATAATAACGCGTTGCTCGAAGTTTGGCATGAAAAAAGCTGCAATTTACCTTTGCTTGGATGCCACAAGTTGTTGATAGATGATTGGAGACAGGTTGTGCCAAACGTATAAACAGCAGTCAACTAAAGTCGAGGTATTCTTACATGGCGATGTTTGAGCTCTGAGCTGCCGCTCTGTGTGACGCATCAAATGTGCTCCATCGAGTTAATATCCGGCTACGTATGTGGCATAACATTAATTATAATTCATCCTATGGTCCTTGAACCACTCCAACAAAATTCGAGCTCCGTGACGTGGGACGTTGTCCTGCTAAAAGATTCCATTTCCAAATGGGAAAACAGACGTCATAGAAGGGTGCAACTGATACGAAGCTAAGTTCAGATAGTTCGCAGCTTTCATGATCTGTTTTACCAAAACTAAAGGTCCCAGAGCCACCCATCAAAACGTCCCCCAAAGCATAATACCGCTACCACCAGCCAGTGTATGACCTGCTGTACAGGAAGGGGAGTAACTGCTCGCCTAGAAGATGATGTACTCTGATACGACCATTGACGTGATGAATACGAAATCGTGATTCATCCAACTAGGTAACTCTCTCACGGTCCAGTCTCGACGTTTTCGGGGCCATTGTAGGCGTAGTTGACAGTGATGCTTGGTCAACAGAGGCACATGAGTGAGATGTCTGCCGCGCAGTCCCATATCGAACAGTGTCTGCTGAACTATGTCTGCCGAAACACTTGCATCTGGAGACTGCATTGTATTGGGCTACCAGTTGAAGCACTGTCTGGCGCCGATTTTGCTATACCAAGTGGAACAGTCTCCCATGTTCTTTTTCTTTGATGATGCGTTGACGTACAACACTTTAACATCTGCTGGTTTCACTATCATTTAGCCACTTTGCATAATTACTAAAAACAATAGATCGTGAACAACCTGATAATGCTGTAGTTTCGAAGATATTCGTTCCGAGTCTTTGGGCCATTACAATCTGACCTCTACCAAATTCGCTTAGATCAACAGCCTTTCCCATCACTCGCAAAACGTAAGTGCAAGAATGATTCCTTACCTTCTCTAGCATCAGTTAAATACCGTCTCTACTTAATTACGTGCCCTCCACATGATCCAGATGTTCTTTGCAAATGTCAGTATGGTCACAATGTTTTGGCTGGTCAGTGTAAAAGATAAATTCCAACTTCTGCCAATCCGGTATCAGTTATTTTGGAATCTATGTTGTGAGTTAACAACTAAGAAAGTCACTCATCAGAGCCAAAACTGGCGCAAGCGTGAATGAATGTATTAGAAATAACCGGCTTCTTGCAACTTACAACAGCTCTTTGTCTAAATACACATTCGTTTGTTGTTTAAATTCAGCTTAATTTGCATTCTGTTGATGACTGATGATAGCCATAGAAGGCACACAAAAAGTGAACAAAAAATGTAAAGTGTTAGATAAAATAAACATTATAAACTGTGATTTAAAAATAGGCAAACTATCATGCACTTTAAATAGCTATTAATGTAAGAGAAATGTTACATGCATTTTGAAAGAGAAACATAAATAATGCACAAAATTATGCAATGTTTTACTACTTATATTCAAAATAAAAAAAGAGATATAGGGAAATGTAAAAAGGCTAGAACTTTTTTACTACATCTGTTTGTTGGCGAAAAGCTAAAGGAAAAATAAAATTAAAAAAATATATATATTCTAACATTATCCTTTAACGCGCTATTGACATGATA